CCTAGTCAGCCTTCTGTATGTTCCCGCTTCGCATGGTATTTGAGCAGTAGCTGCCGGTCTTCCCGGTACTTATTATTAGTGTTTATTTGGGTTAGAGTCTGAATCCGGTTCAGAACCGGAACCTGAAGACTCCCCAGCATTAATGTTCGCACTGCAGCGCGAGCTCCTTCGGCTACTGGAAGTCGCGTGTCTACATTTTTCGCTACGATCCACTGTACCTACAATAATTTTACATAAAAATTAGTATCTCGTGAAAAAATCATAGAGGATCATAATTTTATCATATTATTTGTATGTATATTATGTATATTACTTGTGTAAGATACGTGTATAAGTTATATTGAAACTCTGATGAATCATGTAAGTAACATAATTATAACAAGAAACCTCTTTTAGTCGAACGTTACAATTGATACTCACTAGTTAATGGTGTATGAACTTCAACCTTTATATTAGCCGTTGCAGTGACCTTGGTTGTGATATGAGATGCAGATGTCACTGGTGACATTCGACTAGACCCACTTGTATCTGATCCGCTACAATTCTGTTAGTTAAAAACAAATGCACACATGTTAATCATGCTCTGTGGATTCCGAGTACCACCATCATTCACATATGAGACAGCGTGTAAATGACAATAGAAAAATTTTGATTGGTATGAAAGCAGTTACAAAGATAGAAAGCAAATGTGATAGATATCCAAAAAGCACTCTCGCTTCAAGTATGTTTTGAAGGAAAATGTCAAATGAAAAAGGGAACATTTCATAATACAATTTTAATATTGGTATTACCTGATTGCCACAAGTTGATGTTGTTTCAACCTTCAACTCTGGTTGAACAATAATACAAGATTCTTGTGTACTGTGCCACGAATTGGGTTCTTCTGTGATCGTTGTTAGAGAAGGCTCCGCGTGTAACCTGGCGTTATCAATTTTGTACGATCTCCTGGGTGGTGCAGGAGGTTTTGATCTTCTGACGATTGGCGAAGCAGGTGGTGTTGGCGTAGAAATACGATCCGGATGGTCATTGGGTATTATTTCTGGTGCTGGTCCAATCAAAGACAGCAAAATAGGGAAGAAGAATAGCCCATTCACCAAACCGATCCCAACAAGACACAACAACACCAAGAAGAAGTATCGGACGATGAAATCGAACTCGGAAAAGGCCAACATCATGACTGTTAATAGAGTTGTTGATGCTCCGTGTATTACAGGCGCATACATGTGTTCCAGAGCTAGGCGAATCCTTCGGTCTCTACTCCCAATGGTCGTGACAAAACTCTACAAGAATAAAAAACGAAAGTATAGAATACAAATGTGATAGAGAATTTTATAGATGAGACATTGGGAATCAAATTTTTAGAGCAGCCATATTAATTATTCGACGGCTTTATTAATTATACTGAATATTTCATGCTCACGTTTAATTTAAAGAGAGAATTATTTAATTTATTGATTCTTTGGATCAGTTCACTTTTATTATCAATGTCTTGATTTATCTTATTTGTGTTTATACTAACCAGACAAATATGCACCGTAAAGTGCACAGAAATTCCAACGCTGACAACTAACAGAACAGCGGGAACGGCGCTCAGTTTTATGTCCCAGAGGCCCATAATTCCGAAAAGCTGTAGAACCACAGCAGCAAGTGAAATGCCGACTAACAAAGCTGCCCAGGGATTCAACAACAATATTCCAACAACAGCGACGCTGGCTGCTAGAGCAACTAACAGAGAAATCCCTAAACAATTTCTTAAATCCATATACTGTTCCCAAAACAGGAACGGTATACCAGAAGGAAAATTTGGGAGTCCTCGTTCCTCGAATTTCTTGCACAACTTCCTCACGTTGCCAATTAATTCCGTGATCTCTTGGGTATCGGTAAGTTTGTGCAGATAAAACGGCATCTGTGCGTACGTCAGGGGCATGCTTTTTGGAATCTTCAGCTCGTGATCGTTGGTATAAATCCATTGCTTTGGCTCGGGTCTTAAATTCGCTTGAGAAGCACCGTAAGCCAGAACGTCGTTGGATACCCAAGCGCTCAAGTAATTGTAAAACGCTCTCGGATTGATGATCCCTTCGGAATCGACTAGCCTGACTTGAGTGACCAATGACTTGTCAATAGGATTGTCTACGTGGCCAGTTTGTACCAACAATTTATAAGCTAGAATTGCCTCGTCGCTGGCATTCTTATACCACCTTTCCTGCGTAATACATCCGTTGCTATAATCCTTGTCGAACGCGTTTTGCAGTCCCTTCAACCAATCCCTGAATAAACTCAGCCAAAACTCGGGCAGTCCCCCGTCG